ATTAAAGGAACAATTAGAGTTGTTTATAGGGGAGATAAAGATATTAAACGTGCTATTTTTTTTTTATTTTTTTTTTTATTTTTATTTATTATTTTTTTTTTTGGAAGCAGTCTTGTTATGACTGATACGTAATGATGGAACTTATACGCTTTTAATGTATTAATTAATAAGGAGCACGTTGGGATTTGGGTCCCAGAGTGACCCAGAGTGAGTTTACATTTATTTCTCTGCTGCCCCGGTAAATGAATCTTGACATTCCCACTCTGTAAGTACGTTTCGGCAACCTCAAGATAGTAGTCAGGGGTTGGCAAAAAATGACCACAAGGCCCACTTGGCGAACAAGTCTTCTCCCTCCCCCCTTTCACCAGTAGCAGTGCCAGTACCAGTAATTGTGAATCTACGGTTGAAATAAGCAGGTAAAGTTGTTAAGACTAATGATGAAAGAGTCCAGACAGACTTAATTAAAAATAAACCGGCGCTTAGTGTGAAGAATGGACAAAAACAAGGTTCAAGTTCCTCTTGGCACTGAGCTGATCGATGTCATCAGAAAACCATTAGGCCTAAATCCATCGATGGAATTCATCACATTCCTTTATTCATCGATTGAGTCGCTGATGGCTTAGCGGTTCCATCGGCTTTTGGATTTAAATGAGTTGGATTTAATCTAAACATAATCTCATTGTTGCTATTTATCAATGTACTTCACATATTTGTATTCAGTTAACTTTCTACTTAAAAGTTAAAGTGAAAACTTCTTTAGGCGCGTTTTACACTTTTTTTTTGTAGAGTGAATTAGATTGAACCTTCAGATATCCGATGTATAACGCTTGGGTAAAGTCGGTTAGAATCGACATATTTTACGTTTTTTTCATATGGATTAAAATATCTCAAAAACTAAAACTTCAATCTCCATATTGTTAGCGAGGGGAATGTTAATAATTTCATCCTCTTTTTAATGAGCTATTATTGAAAATTGGATCTTAACGCGACGCCGTGTTAGGGAGGTGGAAAAGAAAAAATAGTGTTAAAAACCAAATGATATCTAGTTTTATTGAAGATTTGAATTAATACATCCCCGAAACTAAAAATCAGATCTGTATACTCTAAGCGAAGGAAATGTTCAGTATTTCATCCTCTTTATAATGAGCTATTATTTATATTTATATTTTATATTATTAATCTCGCCTTTTTTTTTTCACTTCTACCGTATGGTCTAAGACACACACGTTAGTTTTTTTTTTCTCATTTATTTCATAACTATCCTGGAGTGTCACAATTTCGATGAAGTGCTGCAATTCGGTCTTAAACTCAGCGTAAATCGATGTCCATCGGTTCTGGCTAATCGATTGATAGATTTCATCGCTAAAGCGCTAAGTTTAGGAACATGCCCAAGTTTCTTATCTACATATATTTAATACTCAATTTATTCTTAACATATACCGAATGACTACCAATAGAAGTAAGAACTGCCGGAATTGTTTTCATAAAGTTAAAACATAATGACAGTAGAAGGAGAACACATCATAGCCCGAAAAACTCGGTTAGTATATTAATAAAAATAATAGGTACATCAAACTCCGATGGATATATGTTTAAAATATAATTTGGTCCTCTCATTTTTTGGTTGAAATAACTAGTAAAGCTTACTTACAAGTTTATAGCTTTTAGACGTAATACCATCAATATTTCTCGTTATACTGTCTTTAGATATTAATTTATGATAAATATTACAGATAACCTGTTTTTGTACATCAAAACCTGAGCTCAGTTTCGAATTTATGTGTTATGTATTGCCAAAATTAACTAAATTGGTCACCATAAGTGATGGTAAGGCTTTAAATTCAGCCTCAATGATAGATGAAATGTCTAAAAGTAGTTAAGTTATTTATAAAGATCGATTAATTTTTTTATAGTATTGCTTATATATGATATATTTCCGGAAAATAAATCAATAAATTAATATTTTGATTGGTAATCTAAATCTAATAGATCCTATAAGCTTTTTTTTTTTTTGTTAAAATGATATATAAATTTTATTCTAGATTTTTTTATAACACAAACAGAACGATAATAAAAATTGAGAAGGAATCCGGAATATAAGGATCAAAACAAAAGCAATAGAGAATTTCAAATTTTCGTATACAATCTTCGACCTTCCTCCGAATCTGGTACGTCTCTGTACCAGCTGACTGACTAATGCACACCGTAAACTTTGAAATTCATCATTTGTGACAGGACAATACGTTCTGCTTCCGTCAATATATCTGAAAAATTCAAACCAGCGTCACGTCTAGTAAAATTTACATTTATCTATTCATATGAGCCCAAGGTTTGTTATAGTAATAGGTTGTATTTAAGTTTACTTTCGTTGTTTACAAATCGTACGTTACAAAAATCAAGTCAGTGACATTAACTCCACTACGCAATAATTTACAATTAGTGAATTGTTTGATGTTTTCTCTTTTTATTAAAAATTAAACTATTCTTTTATTAGTTTAATATTCTACGCCAGTATCACCTGTGCGGTAGAGCATCTATCAATTTTTATGTGCTGATTACTTGTAGATCTACGGTGGGAAGAAGGGGGAAAAACATTATGAATGAAAAACATTATCTCTAAAAGTATTATTGTTCGTCTAATTACTTTTAATAGGACTTAAACAATCATTTGAACACCATTTCATATAGTTTGTTAGTTTCTTTCTTACTTCTGAAGTAATTATCCTAACATATACAAAAAAAAAAAAAATCTGAAGCCCCCCAAAAATTAAATCTTGGATCCGTTAGAGTTGTGAATGGATATATAATATAAGTAACATAAATCGTTATAAGCCATAAGTTATTTTCTCGATAACGGCTCTAACGATTTTAATTAAACTTAATAAGCCAATGTGATACTGAATGGTTTCTAATACAAGGTAGATTTATCCCCATTGATGCAACCAGAAAGGGGTTAAATGCCGATTTTCAAAATGTCTACCTCTAAAGTACGGGCTAAATCTACGGAGAGGAGGACTATCGGGGTGAAGTCCCCTCCAAAACGGTAAAATATAATCATGTTTTATGAAAAACATTAACTCTAAAAGTATTATTGTTCGTATAATTTCATTTAATAGGATAGGTAGTTAGTTTATTTCTTTCTTTCCAAGTAATTATCCTAATATATAAATATGAAAAAAATCTTTCGGGCTGAAGCCCCCTTCCCAAAAATTAAATCCTGGATCCGTTAGTGATTATCTGTTACAAATTTGCTTTATTTACATTAATTTTGTTACTATTGAAGGAGCAGGTCTCTTGGCCATTTTCTTTTTAATCTGCATCGATCGAGGTAAAAGGGAGAAGGAAATTGAAAGAACTAGTGGATTGAAGTGATTTTGAGTTGAAGAATGAAATGTAGTGTATTTGACGGAGATGTAAAAGTTTAATGTTGAAATATTAAAATCCTTATGCATAGAGTGATTTGAAATATATTAAGGGAGTCAACGTTTTTTCAAATATTTTGGATTCCATTGTTTATATTTATTTCCTGAATCACAAAGTTCTGCCTCATAGTTCCAAACTGGTCTCAGTATGGTGTAAATTAGTCAATTTTTTCGTTGAGTCTTGTCAGTCTTTTTCATTTTCTATCTGTTTTCCATTTAAGTATTTTATTTATTATGGAATTCCCTTTCTATATTAGGGATATTATTAGAATAATTTTGCTTTTATTCTGTTTCTTTGGATTTGTGACTGCTAGTGGACTGTATCTATTTTATTAAAAGATAAGCTATAATATGAGATGGTAAAGTGATAGATATAAACATTTTGTATAAAAGTATAATACAAGTTTCTTCGATGTAAACGAGTTTTTGAACCACTATTCAAGATCATAGTGATGATTTTGAAGGGCAAGTGATACGATAATTGGATTTTATGAGAAGACAGAATAGATGGTGATGCTAGGGTGCTCAGGAATATCAGAGGTGTATAGAATAATAGTTTTAATATAATAAAATTATATAATATAATATATAATATAAAAAATATAATAAAATAAAACAAATTAGTAATTATAGTTCAGGAAAAGATCGGCTCACTTAATAAAAGGAGTCACATTCCATTTAACTCCATGTATCTAAAACATTTTAAAAATAGTTCAATATTTAAAATAAAAAATCTTATTTATTTTCGTCTAAAAACTTTCAATGTTTTATTAAATTTGAACCACAAATTTTCACAAAAATGTATATAACAGATCCGTGGAACCCTTTTTTTTTTTAAATAATTAACATCCGCCTAAAATTTGTAAATAGCTTCATCTCTTCGTAACCTACAAATATTTTATTTATGAAAATTCTCAGAATTGGGACATTTTTAAACTGGAGATCAGGCAAATTGTGTCTATTTAATTAGGTGCTAAACCTAATGAATATCCATTTGCTTTCCACTTGAATCGTAAGATAATATAGTCACAAAATTGAAAAAAAAAAAAAAAAAAAATGTGGCCTACTAAAATATTGGGGCGTTTGGCCTTTATAACTGCATTATTTTAACTTTTTCAACACCAAACGGATAAATATTTTTAGAGGCCACCTTTTTTTTTTGACCTTGTGATCATATTATTATCTTACAATTCAAGAGGAAATTAAATGGTTATTCCTGAGTTTTTAGTAACTAATTTAATAGACAAAGTTTACTGATCTCCAGATTGAAAACGCCCTAATTCTGAAAAATTTCTTAAGTTATGATGAGATGAATCTATTTAATAAGTTTCAGAAGGATGTTAATAATTTGATAAAAATGGATCTATACCACTGACTATAAGAAGTGTTAAATGTACGTATTGAAGTGATTATAATTACGAATCACTCATATTTATATATTGATTCCATTCCATCAATCATTTTCAATAAATTTCAGTTTTATCTCGGCATGAAAGTAAATTATAATAAAAATTAAGTTTAATAAATATATTAATAATTGATGTTATTTTATTTATTTCTGTTTTTGTTTTTTTTTAGAAAACAAATGGGGGCTGAGGCACTTGATAGGCATCATGGGCTTCTTCGCAGTTGGTATCGGATACATTCACAGATTCTGCCTCAGTTTAGCAATTACTGAAATGGTCAGGATTCATGCAGGGGGAGGAAAAATTGATGCACATTCATGCCCTTTAGCTCAGAATACTACTACAGTAATAAAAAATGTAAGTATATGTATAATTTCTAGTTTTACTACCTAAATAAGTACAAGTTCACATCCTGCTGATAGGGAGGTCTTATAACACTGGCATTAATCCTATTTTACTATCTCAAATAGGTTTTTATTAATTACTATAAATACTAAATTTTAATTAATTAATTTCAGGCGGGAGAGTTCGACTGGAGCGAAGAGACCCAAGGTCTCATACTGAGCTCCTTCTTCTGGGGCTATGTTATCAACCAGTTGCCTGGGGGTCTGATGGCAGAAAGGTGGGGGGTAAAATGGGTGCTTGGATTTGGTATGCTCATATCCTCCATGGCTACCCTTCTTACTCCAGTGGTCTCTAGGACGTTAGGATCATGGGGACTAGTTTGTCTCAGGATTGCAATCGGCTTTGGGCAGGTAATTACTGAATACTATTTCTTCAAATAATATCCAGTAAAATCGAAACAATATATATGTATATATATATATATATATATATATATATATATATATATATATATATATATATATATATATATATATATATATATATATATATATATATATATATTAATTTTGTTGATTAAAACTTTAATTCTATTTGTAATAATAAAACACATTTGATCTTTCATCCTAAATTATTTTTTTCTTTACATTCAACGTTTCACATCTTTAGGCCATTTTCAAAGAAAAGAAGCTTTTAAATAACAAACGTCTCAGCCTAATTAATTTACATATTAATTATTTTTATGATAAATCATATGTTTACAGACCTTACTTTATAAAAAAACAAAATTCATTTTGGCTAATTTGCCCTTGTTACATCTAATACTCAACCTCACCTCATAAGGATATGTTTATTTAAACATTTTCCATAGTCAATTTAATCATTTCAATCTTTTTTATATTTATATTTAGAAATAGAAAAATCATCTTTATTCTGGGACTAGGTCCCTTTAGAATAACATTATTGTTCATACAAATTAACAATAAATCTGGCCAAAAGACCTATTACAATGAATAATAACAAAATACTAGTAATAAATTAAGTATAATAGCTCTTAGGATATATTAACGACAACAGTTGCGTAATAGGGGTTCAATATTACAATATTGGAGCTAAAACAATAGCATAATAATTACTAAATGAAATTAGAAAGGAACGCAAAATCAATTTTTTAGGCAAAGCATTGCAGTGATGGAATATAAAAATTTAAAAAAAAAAAAATTACTGTTGATATAAAAAGAAATAAATTGTAAAAAAAAGAAATGATATACATATGTTCCCTAAGATGTTTAAGTTATTACATGTAAAGATTAGGAGAAGAAAAAATAAAATAAAGTTAAATTAAAATTATTTAATATAGAAAGAAATTATTTACATCTTTAAATTATTATTAATTTTACATAATAAATTAAATTAAAACATAAATATAAATTTTATTCATGGTTACATCATTCATTCAATTTTATTTTTAATTATTAAAAAATCATAGATTTTATTTCTATTTTCTAATTTTAGTTTCATAAATTAATTTAGAAGGTACAGTTTAAATTTTTTTTATATATCGTAAAATAGTGCAAACTAATTATTTTAGTTTATCATGGTATTTACAAATTAATTTTAATTAATGTTTCAGCTTAATATTGATTTAATTGCTTTGATTCAGCTTTGAAATTTATAGTATAATTCATATTTTTCCGTGATATATATTGCTTCTAAAATTTTTATACTGCATGTATTCTCTTCTTTTTGTATAATTGGTATTTTTTCAAATATATAGTCTCTATTAAAAGTATGTTGTACTAATGTTTTTTTTTTTAGTTCTTTTTTAATTTTTTTTTATATCATTTTTAGATAAAAACATGTGAAAATGGTAAATTGCCTCAAATCATTTCATTCTTATTTTATAAAGTAATGTTTGTAAATATATGATAGATTATAAAAATAATTATTATATGAATGTAATTAGGCTGCGATGTTTGCTTTTTAAAAGGTTTTTTCATTCAAAATGGACTGAAAGGACTGAAATGTTGATTGTAAAGAATAAAAAATATAATAATAGTGAATATAAATTAACAAAACCTCTATTTAAAAGTTTTTAATTAAAACTATTTGTTTTTGTTTTTTTAGGGCCCCCTGTACCCATCATTAAATGTGTTGATGTCAAACTGGAGTTCTGCTAATGAAAGAGGACGATTAGGAGCTATTGTTTTTGCTGGTAAATTTTTAATAATTATTTCTTACCTCATTAGTTCTCTTCCTTTCCCTCCTCAACCATACTTTAATAGCCACCCCATCCATTTTGTCCCAACAGTTAAAAACATTCGAATAACTTTTGATTAGAACCTCTTCTTGAATAAACATATTTCCCAAATTACGCGAAAATCAAACTATTCCAAAATAAATAACGTCAGATTCCATGATTCTGATCCTCAAAAAAATAGGCAGCTCCTTGTCATCTAGCAGTTTTCCTCTGCTTTGACTACTGTTTTCAATCATGTCAATTGAGGTAAGGAGGGCTGTCAACTGTGAGGACTGTGCAAGACGGGAGATGAGACTCACGAGACTCATTAATCACTTCATGAGATTCATCATCGGGATTCCTAGACATTCTCATGTTTGCTGCTGGTACTTAGTATTTTCTTTTTCCTAGTCTTCAGAACCAAAAATCCTCCCTACATTCTAGAATGCCTTATTATTCTATGTTTCTCTATCCACTCTCTTAATACCACATTTCAACATATCGATCTCTATATTCCCTCTCTCTCTCTAAAAAAAAAAAAACATTTCTTCCAACAAATCCTTCATGAATTGTGCTACCTCCTTTCAGAACTTCTCACATATCTCCATCTGTCAATCTTCAACCACAAATTCCTTCAAACAACTCCTATTCTACTAACTATATCATATTCAAACTTCTGCAATTATGTAAGAATTATTAGTTTCTGTAACGATTGATTATTAACAGTTAATTTACAAGTGCTGTTTTTTTATTTCTAGTTGGGGAATTCAGTCCCAGAATAGAATTATTTTTTCATTTCATTCCATTTCATATATTCTTTAGTTGTTTTTTCTTTATTGAACAATATTTATATCTGTTATATTACAAGGATATTATTGGAAAATAAGGGAGCAGAGTAACTCAGTGAGTAAGGTACAGGACTTGTATTAGGGATTTTGGAAAATAATGATATATCAAAATATAGATATTTAATTTTTACATAAAAAATAAATTAATATTAAAAGTTTGAAAGTTATGTTTTTAAAAATTCCAATCATATTAAAAAGAAAATAAAAGTACAATATAAACTACCTAAAAGAAAAACATAAAGGTAATTATAATAAGAAAGGTTAGTTGGGGTTGCTGTTATTGACGTAATACTTATTTTCATAATTACTTATTTTCATTGTTCCAGAATTTTGGTCTAAGTTTTGGCTTCATCAGAGCTAGGCAAAGACAAGATAATATAGGATAAGATAAAGTAGGTAGTAGAATAGGAATAGTTTGAAGGACTTTGAGGTTAAAGATTGACAGATGGAGATATGTAAGGAGTTCTGAATGGAGATAGCATAATTCATGAATGATTTGCTGAAAGAAGTGTTCTTTTTTTGAATGAGAGAGTGAATATAGAGATAAATAAGTTGAAATGTGGTGTTAAGAGAATGGATAGAGGCACATAGACTAAGTGACTCTACTATGTAGAGAGGATTTTTGGTTCAGAAGACTTGGAAAAAGAAAACACTAAATACCAGCAGTAAATATGAAAATACCTAGGAATCCCTAAAATGAATCTTACAAAGCAATTAATGAGTCTCGTCAGTCTCATCTCCAGCCTTGCAGACAACTCTACATAAGTTATGTTAAAAGAAACAGAAAGAAAACTTAAAAAATTTGCTTCCAATTTTTTTTTTCAAATAAGGCAAAATAATCAAAGCTTATTTGGTGAGATAGGCATAAGTAATGGTTCAATGATATCCAATGCTCATATATATATCAATCTATAAAAATTAAGAAAGAAATTTTTCAAATAACCCATAGCACAAGATTTTTTAAAAAATTCTTTACCTTTTCTATAAAATTATTTAGTATATGGTAACTCTGATAATGAGACTCCTATGGCAAGTAAATCTGTTTTATATTTGTTTAGGAGCACAAATCGGAAACTTCGTTTCCATGGCAATATCTGGCATCATCATTTCCTATTTGGGTTGGACAGGAGTATTTTACATTTTTGGATCATTAGGAATCGTATGGTTAGCAGTTTGGTTTATTGTTTATTACAATTCCCCACTGGAACATCCTTATATCAAAGAAGATGAAAGAACTTATATAATTACAACTTCTGGGAAAACTCATTACAAAGATGTAAGTAATATAAAATTAAGAATGAAACTACAATTACAAGAATGATTAACTTATTTTATTTTACTTCGTAGGTTTTAACTCGTATTTATTTATCTTGATAATTCAATTAATTTATATTTATATTTCAATTAATTAATTGACAAAAATTTGGTCCAACCAGATGACATCTATCAGTCGATGTTATTAATAATAAGTAAATGAGTTTTACAAAGTTACATTTTTTTAATAATAAAATTATATGCATTAAATACTATAAAAATAATAGCATGAGATCGAGCTATAATTAAGGTTATATATACATAAAAATACATCAAGGTAATAATATATAAGATTAAATAAAATGTGAATAGTAGAGTATGACTAACATTAAAATATAATAAGCATGATTAGAAAGGATAAGATTATATGACAAAGACAATATAAATGACAAACGAAAAATTCAATTTAACAGTTTTGTTATAAAAAAGCTTATTTTGTTATCTTAAATTAAATAATAGAACAAATATAGTTAATAATCATCATATATAATATTCAATATACAAGAACTGAATGAACCCAGAGAGTTTCATAATTAAACTGTTTTTGTTTTCAGTTGCCACCGACTCCATGGATTCCTATTTTGACATCTGTTCCATTGTGGGGATTGATCATAGCACAAGTAGGCCATGATTGGGGTCTATTTACAATAATTACAGATCTGCCGAAATATATGAAGAGTGTTTTACACGTCTCAGTCAAGGAGGTAAATTTAATATTATAAATTAAATATTTAATATATTTAACCAAGAGGTATTACATGGATAAATGATGGTACAAAACTTAAATGTTAACTTAAATTGAGATGCAATAATTAAGTCTAAGACAGAGTAACATGATCTATAATGAATTTAATCAATTTTTTAAATTTTACTTTCAGATATATTAAAAGCTTTTTATTTTATTTTTTTATGAGGTTGTGATGACCGAGCGAGTTAAAGGGTAAACTTAAACATTTTCGAGTCTAACAACGCCAGTTCGAATCTGGCCTGGATCGGTTAAAATTAATTTTGTGGTGGACCCACGGAATCAATTTTGACCTTCCAATTCTGGTTAGAACAACTTGAATTGTATTTCTAGAATAACCTCCTGTATGCCATAAATGGCGAGGTAGGGGAATAGATAAAAAATATATATCAAAAGTTAATTGTATTATTATTATACCAGAGATCTTCACAATGCTGGCAAAGTTATTCCCCATCATCGCTAGGAAATACTACCTAAATTTATTTTTCTTGTGATATTATTGATTACTTAAATCTATACCATCATATTAATTTGGCACAAAGCTAATTTAATATAGTTATATAGTATATTTTTAATATGGAATGAAATATAAAAAAAATATATAATTTTTTTTACAGAATGGAGTCATTTCTGGTGTACCTTACTTGGGAATGTGGTTTTTTGCCATTATATCTGGATGGGTCGTCGATTGGATGATAGTTAAGCTTGGTTGGGGTATATCACTAGTTAGAAAGATGTTTATTACGATAGGTATTGAATAATATTCATTTAATATATTTTACTATTGTTATTAGTTTATAATATAGTAATATTTAAGCTTAAAATAATAGTTAATTATTAATTTATATTTTTAAATAAAAATAATAGAGATAGAAATGATTCTCAACAATCATCTTAATTATTCATGATGACCATGACCTTATTAATGATAATACAGTTTTTAAATATAAGAAAAATAAAATTAATCTCATTATTTGATAATACATATTAAAAAAAATGTCACCAAAAACCTATTAAAAATATATTTTATGTATCCTCTTATTTTGCCGACAGGTCAAATTAAAAAGACAAAAAAGACAGAAGTTTTATTTTTTAAATTATTTGTATGTTTTGGGAATGTTTTGTATCAGACAATATGTGCCTAAAGCTTAGTCTCCCAGTTAATATTCAAATGTTCAATGCCATTGACCAAACATTATTGGATTTACCTAATATACTGATGTAAAAGCTGAAGAGAGGACAAAATATCTAGAAATGTACAAATATTTTTTTTTTTTAACTATAAACACTACTTTATTTCTTTTAATTGACTTGAAGCTAAAATAAAAAAATATAATAAAAACATATTGAAGAAAAATTATTTTTATTTCAAAATGAAAAAAAAAAATTAATGGATTTTTATATTATTATAAAATTATGAAACAACTGCAGCCTCTTTAATAAAAGCCATTTAAAATAACGAAACTATCAATCTAAGTTTCAATTTAAGATCTAAGATAAATCTAAGATTTATTAGTTCCATAATGACACACAACCAAGATAAATGATAAATAATAAATGTTCAACGTCTTATAGTTAATTTTAACTTTACTTTAACCTAACAATATTTCTTTTAAACATTAATATAATTAAGAAATTTAAAAACATTATTTTAATATTCTGTTTAAGCTTCTATTGGACCAGCTATTGGAATTATTGCTGCTTCTTATTCTGGGTGCGATAAGCTTTTAACTTCAGTTTTCTTTATCTTCGGAATGACAATCATGGGTGCATTTATACCAAGCCTAAAAGTGAATGCCCTCGACCTTAGCCCAAATTATGCTGGAACGCTGATGGCTATAGTCGGAGGTATAGGAGCGATATCAGGAATTTTAACTCCATATCTTGTTGGAGTACTCACACCTAATGTAAGTCTAACACTGTTTCTCATGGATATTATTAATTACCTATATGAGTATTCTCTATTTATTCCATATTTGTACATAAAAATGAACCAAAAATTAAATAAAATATTATTATTTCATATGAAGGTTTTGTGAAGAACACATGAAATAAATACAATACTTCATGATGCTGGCAATACTATGTTAGTAACATGAAGCATAAACAACCCTTTAGAGACACTTAGAATACATAGCTTTTTTTTTTTTTTCTTTTCGTGTTATTGGGATTAAAACTGATGAAGGCAAGTATAGACACCTCAATTCAAACATTTAAAAATCTTCTCATTTTTTTTCTGTATCCAGGATAGCTATCGAGTCTTTCTTATCAAATCAAGAGGCGATTCCAGAAAATCTGTGCTAGCCATCATTTACTTTGGAGCCATTTGTTGAAATTATAATTGGGATATCTATACGTTTTCTAAATTGTTTGATTATTTCAATTAGATTGATCGTTTTAGATATTTTTGGAGTTATTCATTCACCATTGAGCTCACATTACTCTAAATAAGAACCGTAACATTAATAATTGTTTACATTCTTCTCTCTCTCTCTCTAATTGAATAGAGGGATTTCACGTTTGTTATGATGCATAATGGATTCATAATCCACAATAATATATTTATCCCAATCCATCTTGACAGGATCTTTTTGAAGTAGCCTATTTGAATTTTGATTAAACTATGTCTCCTTTTCATCCAATATTTTAAAGCTCATTGCTAGAGCCTGAGAGAAAATTTTTACCACATTGTTATGCACAGTCTTTTCTTTATCATCTAAGGCACGTGTGTGAGATGGAACCTTCCACTAATTTCATATTTTTAAGTTGATATTTAGGTCATAAACTATGTTTTTCATGGTGCAGTAGTAGGTTAACTATTAGCCCAGAGTTGATCTCAGACCTTCCCTCCGACCACCTCCCTTTCTGACTCACTTACACTCAAGGAGAGTGACAAATCAGTCTATAATCCAGGGATTATGGCTGGTCAGGATCAACAGCAGATACATGAAGAACTGTACTTTTTTTATGAAACAGACCATCCACAAACCAAATATCCAGGTGGCTATAATATCCTGGAAAGCTTGCATTTCTGCCAATAAAGATGCCATAGGTAACTTTCCTCCAATAGGCTGATGGGGATTCCATATTCAGGGAAGGGAGAACAGCAGATGTATTTAAATATTTTGTTCTTTATTTTTAATTATTTAATTTTTGCCAGTGAAATCACAAAGCAAAGAAATTTGAACTCACAACTTTTATGCTTGTAAACTAATGCACTTTAACTCACTTAGCCTACATACAAAATTATCTATTAAAGAAAAAAATATTGTTTTATAAGTTCTAATATTATTAATTATTTTTCCAGAGCACACTTCTTGAATGGAGGTTGGTATTTTGGATATCTGTCGCTGTGCTTATGGGCACAAACATTATCTACCTCCTAATGGGAACTGCTAAAACACAGTGGTGGAACGATCCTGACCAAGTACGAAGCTACACTGAGGGAAAAGAAAAGAGCAAGGAGAAGGAGGCTGCATAATTGTTACTTCTTAATTTAATCTTATATTTTAAATACTGTAATATAACGTTAATATAAAGGAACTTCCTTTGTGATGTACATCCCAAGAAGAGAACAGATCAACGGTTAACATATCCATTCAGTATTAAATTCAAATAATTTTTTTTTTCAGTTACATATATGTGTTATATGACTTAATTTTGATTACATTCAAATAATTGAAGACCTATTAGGAAGAAAATGTTATGAGGTCTTTTTGGAATGATTGGGATTTTATCTTGAAAATTATTTTAAATACTTCTTTCTATATAGAAACTTGTTTAATCCTTATACTGTGCTAGTTTTCAACCTAAAATAGGAATGAATATCATTAAATTCAATTTATCCCAGATTCAAATATTTATAATGCACATTTCTTGCACTTCAATTGTTATGCTAAAAACAAAAACTTTCACAACAAAATTATACAATGTATTCCAATGAATCTATTAACATTTTAATAGGTTATCAAGAAATACTATAAAAACATGAAACTATAAAAAACGGTATTTTCATTTCCTTTTTTTTTTTACAGTAGACCATAGGTGGGAAACATTTTACCATTAACATTACCACATTTAAAATAGTCAGTAATAAAGAAAGCCACTATATTTGTTAATATTTCACTGTTGGTATTTTTATTTGTTTAAGAACATATCTATATATAAATTTTAATTTTTATGTAGTCATAATTGATATAATATAATGTTAACATAATTAAAACTAGAACAAAATTATATTTAAACTAATATAAACTTGCGGAGGCCACACGTTCCCTATCTTTGGAATAAACCAATATTATCTTATTCGAAATACCAAATGAAAAAAAAAAAAAGAAGGTAAAAACCAAACAGAAATTTAAAGAAGAACAAATAAATTAGAGTAGTTATAATTGTTCCGTACCTGAAAAGGAGTTCCATAAAGTAAGAAAGGATGCCTGTATATTATAAATACGCATACAATTTTATTATTTTTTTAAAGTCTTTAGTTATGTAAAAACTTAATTTCGGCAAAAATAATGTAAAAAATAATATATGAACAGATAATCTGTTAACTTTTGAAAAAGAAAATTGGGATAGATTTTAAAATGGATCTAGCAATTTTTGACTACTTTTTAGATGATTTTAGGGTAGAATTAAAGTTTTTATTAAGTCAATTATCTAAATAAAAGATAAAATAATACTCAGGATGAAGTTAATTTAATCTAATTTTATACTAAATGCTTTGTGTTTAATTGTAAATTAATAGTAAATCTGCAGTGATGAATATTGAGGACTGTGATGTTTCATAGAAATCAAAGCAACCATACCATAAATGCTACTTGGTGAAATCAATTTTATTTTAAGTTAACATTTTCCATTCAGATTTACTAAACTAAACAAAAGTGATCTCAAAAAATGTTTAAGTAATGGATTTAAAAGTCACATACCTAAATAGTAATATGATATTGTAAAATAAATAACAGATAGGAAATTATAGTAATAGATATTGTAAAATTAATAATAGATAAAATATAACATGTAAAAAATGTGTAAATAAATGTAAATATGTACATGAATATTTAATTAGGTTAAATTGTAAATATATTCTAGGTTATTTATATATGAATTGGAATCATATAATGTTGTATTATGTTATTTTCTGTTTAAAATAAAATGAATAAATTAGTATTTGTCTAAAATTGGTTTATGATTTATTATATATTATCTAAATTCATCAATTTTTTAAAAATTATTTAACAATAGAGTTTATGTCAAATTTTATTATTTCTTGGCATTATAATAACAATAATGAATAGAAAAAATATAGGGTTAAAATGTGAGACAGAAAGGTAAGAAAAATAATTTAAGGGATTGTAATTTAATGATAATGATAATAGAAATTGCTATTTTTTTAATATATTTTTTTTGTATATTTTTTAACAACAATTGGTGAAGTATTAAATTAAAAAAAAAAGTAATCATATTATCTTTACTACTTATATGAATATGATTATCCCTGCAAGCAATCAAGAAGATATTGAGGTATAAAATACACGATGTTGAGCCCAAAAATCCACTAGAACAACAGAATCAAAATAGAAAGTAATTTCCTGGAGAAAATAAATTCAATTACCTTATCTCACCAATAACCAATAAATTATCAATGGTAAGAAAGAAGTGTCGGGCTTAGACTCTCCAACAAAAATTTAATTTATTTCTTAAACTGTTTTATATTATTATATTTGGATTTTATGTCATTCACTGTGTCTCAGATTCAGTTGCCTTGGGGTAATAGATAGTACAAGATGCAAGATCCTGAGGCCGGGACTGCAGAAAGAGATCAACGTATAACAAAGTTTTTTCTCTCAGTCAGAAGTATTTTATTTCAATGAAATATCTACAAAGTCTATGTTTGCAAAATATTAGTAGGTACTCATTTGTTTATAGTGATTCCGGTGTATTTGGGCAATATGAATTATAAAAAAAATTATTTCTCTCACTTATTTCCAGTGAAATAAAGAAGGAAAAATTGATTAAACATATAAATTTAAACTCGCAGATCAGGTCTTCACTTATTAGTAATAATAAAAACATATAATTTGACCAAAATAATACTACTTTATTTATTTTTTTACACCAACGTTTCAGCCCATAGGCCATTTTCAATACAGGCAGAAGAAAAATTTTAGAAGCATTGAACATTTCAGAAAAATAGATTACACTGTTAATTTCAAATCAGATTCAAGGCAGATAGCAGAAATAATAACTAAAATTAATTTATAAATATATTGAAATGCAAAAATAATGAGTTTGGTATGGGTCATGAATTTTTGAAATGTTCAAACCAAGGACAAAATGAAAACAGGGAACAAACCTCAGCAAATGTTATTTTATGTGGTCTACGATCCTTTAAATTTTACTTTTGTTTGCACTGTTACTAAGAAGAGGAGAAAAATAAAATATCTTGGAAAGGGGAAGGAAAAAAGTTCATGCACCATTGACCATGAGAGGGAATGAGAACCCCTGGGTTAAATTAATAATAGGGCTATGAATAAATTATATTTATTTATAATATAATATTTATGAACTAATTTAACAAAACCTAAAGATAGTCTAATAATGTAATTTTTAATTTTAAAGATGTTAGTTTGAAATGTGAAGGAGTTTAAAATAAACATAATCTTATAGAGGGAGGTTTTAGTGTTTGACTAATTAAATTAGGTTGACAAGGGCATTACAGACCATATGTTTTTTACTTTTAAAATAGGTATGTAAATATTCGGTCTGCTTGTTGGTACAGATCCATAAAGTATAAAATTAAAATAATTAGTAAGAAATTTTAATTAGGCTAATTGTTTATTTAATTGTTTATTTAATTAGATGATTGTTTTATATGTTAAAGGTTTCTTCTCTTGAAAATGGCCAGAGCCGAAACATTGGCATAGAAAAATAAATAACGTAGAACTGTTGTGATCAAATTAGTTATTTTTATTATTATGTGAAAAAAATTTTAATTTCTGATGATAAGACTAATGTGAAAATATATATTTTTTTTTTTTTTGCAGAACAGAACTCTTAGTCCAAACATTTGTGTTTAAAAAATAAATAAAATGATATAATCCTGTTTTTCATACCTTAATGCAAAAAATATATATAATACAATAAAAGAACTAATTGAGAAGCTGATTTACTATTTTTGATTAAAAAAATTGGCCATTTCTGAAATAATTAGAATTTAAACAAACAAAAAATTAAAAATCCATGACAATGAATAATATTAAAAATAAATAAATATTTAACACACCTTGATTTTGTGGATTGTGTTCCAAAGGAGGCTGCAACAGGATACCACAAAACTACGGCACTAATCATTTAATAGACAATTTTTTTATCACTCCCGAAACTTTAAAAACTCACTAATTTCATAGCAAATCAAAACGCACTCACGGGAACTTACTTTTTAAATAGACCCGCACAAACACTGCTGAAAAATAAAGAAAATAGTATAAATAATTTATTTTCATAAGTCAAAATAAATACAAAATTTATATTTTACTAATTTTCTTAAAGTAAATAAATAATAAAATAATAATAATAATAATAGGTGGCTTAGCGAATCGGAAGGTTCGAAACCGACACCACCAATTGCTTGTTACAAACTTCCCTCCACCGGCCGTCCAAACCCAATCCCTTCCGATCGTCCTTAGCTGAATCATCCTGCTTTCGCTTCGGTCTACCCCTCGGACGTTTAGCATTCGATACAAAGCGTAGATGACCCTAGGGTTTTACGCCTTAAAGCCAAAACCAACAACAACCATTCGGTACAACAAATATTAACCTTTTAGGAATTCTTTCGTTACGAAGCCCAACAATTTTACAAGCCCATTTGATTCTCCGCGATGTAATCACCTCAATTATATTAACCGAATACAGTTCATGGCTATTCAGTGTTGTGTATCCGTCTGAACTCTTCGGTTAAATCATCCTTCTTCGATCAGAATATTCTACACAAAACTTTATTTTCAAATACCTTAAGACGTTGCTCATCCCTTGATGTAAGCGGCCAAGTTTCGCAGCCATAATGAGCAATAGGTATAATAATGGTTTTATCGATTCTAATTTTTAAGTTCCGAGACAAGAGGCGCTAAGTAATTTTGTAACATAAAAATAACAAGCATTTCAGCCTAACCTTAATCTCTTCTTCAATTTCGTTTTTTTCTAGTTATCGTAGACCCTAGATACCTAAGCTTCTCTACCTGTTCAAATATATCACCATCAACATCGATATCACCGGAATTATCCCCATTTTTGCAGCTAACCATATATTTTGACTTATCCGTGTTTATTTCTAGCCCTAGTTCCTTACCAGATTTCATTAACGTTGTCGTATTCAGTTTGATAGTTTCCTTCTCTTCTCTTAACAGAACCAGATCATGCACATATCCGAGCACGGGTGTTGTCCCACCCAGATTCAACCCTTTTTCGGTACCTCCCTAATGTCATGTATAATACTAATTACTATAAAATAACTTCATATAATGATACCAAGCCTATATAAAAATAAACATTTCCACTTAAATCAAATGAATCGCTGATGATCACATACAAGTTTAAAAAAAAAATAATAATAATGGTTTATTCTGCTCATACTCATCATTAAATCATTTTATTAATTCCTAGATTGTGGATAAAATTATTACTGGAAAGGCTGTTAGCCACTTATAATGGGAAATATGTATATCCGATTTATAAACATATAGGAAGATATACTTATATATAAATATATGATTGTTTATACTAATAATAAATATACCTAATAATAAGCATAAAATATAGCAATAAGATTGTATATTAATGAAATAATAAATGTTAGTAAAAAAAAACGACAACTATGGTTTACAATTTACTTTAGTCTGAAATTCCACTGAACTTTGAAGAATAACAGACAAAGATTTTACGGATTATAATTATTTTAAAAATTTATATTGTAATGTAAGCCATAATTATATTTAAATATAATGCAGTTTATTATGAACATATATTAAATAGTCATGAAAACAAATAGCTAAATATAAATATTTAAATCAAGAAATATTTAATATTTAAGTAAATAACCAAGGTTGTTCATTTCCCCGAAGGTCGATGGCGCATAAACATAGCCCCCTTACATGAAATTTTATAATTCACCTCTTTTTAAAAACATACAACAAAAATAGAATTGGGAAAATCGTAGACCATATACAATTACTTTAACCTGGTCCATGTTTTTTTCCCTTGTCAACTGGATTGAAACTTTTCACCCCAAAAATTCATAACACTTCCGCAGCAACTTACGCCATTATATTACATTAGCAGAAAAGTTAAAGTGTTTCATTAATATTTTTTTTAACGAAGATGACAGCAGATTTTAATTTTAGTAAATTACATTCCAACACTGCCATCTATGCCGATGACGCGTGTATCCTGTCAGTTAATAACGATCCGTCTATTGCATCCCAAACTCTTCAATCATAAGTCTTGAAAAATGCTGTCAAAACTGGAGGATTAAAATAAATCCCATCAAATTAGCTTTACTCTTCACGGTAAACCTATAACTTCCTGTCCTATTTTAACTATACCCCATTTATCCCTGTAGAACAAATCCGATACCTAGGACTCCACCTGGATTAACGACTCACTTGGAACCCCATACCAGACTGAAACGACTAAAAACCGCCCAACGTTTTCAACTACTACAGCACTTACTAGACAAACGCTCTAAACTTCCAATAATTTACAAAAAGACTCATATATATTACTATAATAAGGCCTATTTGGACTTACGGGATCGAGCTTTGGGGTCCACTAAACCATCAAATTTCTCTCTTATCCAATCCTTACAATCGAAAATCCTTCGTAAAACCCGCAATGCTCTCTACTTTGTCACAAATAAATTCATCCATAACGACCTTAATGTACTATATGTTTCCGATTTAGCTCAATCCAGATACCTATCCTTCCATAATA